TCTTTGGCGAAGAGTGAGGGTTACTGCCGAGACCCACTGGTGCTTCGTCTTTTTGCTTCGGTAGAGTTGCATTTGCTGCGGCAGCGAGATACACTATTTGAACTGTTGGTAGAGTAACTCTGGTCCTGGCAAATCATTTTCTTTACAGCAGGAATCTGCTGTTGATCTCGTTTTGGAACTTCGTGGAAGTTTCTGGATCTTTTAACTTGCTGGTGTCGAATTGGGTGTTCATCCCTTCCCAGGCTGTTATCCGGGACGTAGCCAATTGGAAGCGAACTTTGCGATCATCATGAAGTGGTCCGAGCCAGTGTCAGCTCCGCGTCGTGCTCGGATGCCGTGAAGGGCATTAAGTCATTTCCTGCTTACCAGCATGTGGACCAGCTCGCTCCTGAATCGGTCCTCTGGCACTGTCAACGTCAGCTGATGGATTTGACGATGGGGAAACAGCGTACCCCTGACGACAAGGCCGTGCGTGGAACAAGGATCTGACCGTTGTCATTCAGCATCCCGCAGCCATGTTGGTCCATACCATGGTGCAAGTTACAGTTGTCCCCGCTGACCTGCGTCCATCAGCGACGATCGATGATTGATGGTGTGGATGAAGACCGAGAACTGCGTGTAAACACGCGTGGACTCTTTCTTCCTTTGATCGTCCGCCACACTTCTGAGGTACTTGAATAGTCCGCTTCGTTCGTCGTAATATCATGAAGTAATATCCATGGACTGCCGGTCGTATCGGGCGCTCTCTTAATCTTCGCCTTTTTGACGTTAACTTGTAGCTACCACAACCTCGTAGCGATGTCGTACACTCTTTTTGTGAGTGTCATTAAGCCACTTGCGGAGTCTCTCGGCAGCATGACGTCATCAGCATACTTAATGTTCGTTATGAATGCCAAGTATCTCGAGCTGCGTCGCTGCCTAACGGTTAGTGCTTCGTTGTTATTTGGGACGACGAACTTCTGCATATCGTTGTTTTCTATTGTACTGAATAACAAAGTAGAGATCGCCTTACCTTGGCGAACTCCTGTGGTAATGCTGAATCAGTCTGACGGTGAAACTTCAGTCCGGACGGCGCATTTAGTCACTTCGTGCAGACCTTCTATCAGGCTTATCATTGCTTGTGGAATTCGGTAATGATGAA